TTTTGCTATTTCTCTGCCGTTTTGACCAACTTCCAGACCGAATTTTTGAGTTCCGTCTTTTGCATTGTGTTCCTTACGAGTACGCGGTCATTTTGAGCTATAGAAAACCTCAGAATGTTACTCGCAACGCCCAGGAAAAAGGGTGAAAGGTGAAAGTTAGGTCTCGGAGTGTACAACTTGTTCAAGCGACCTAACCACCCTGTTCACCGATGAAATTTCACGTGTCGACTATTGTTTCCCGTAGTCAAAAGCATGAGGAACACGCTCAAACAAAAAAAAGGCAACTTTTTTCGTGGGAAATGCCTTAAAATGGCGATTACTTGTTAGTGTGCGCGGGCCGGCCCCGCCTGCCTGCGGGACGGGAAAGGCTGTCGGTCGTGGTGGCCGCGTTCTGCGTATGACACGCGCATTTTGTCAAAGGAGCGCCAAAATTTGCACAGGAGTTCTTAAAGAGATAAGAAACAAATTTTGTCCGAATCCTTTTGGAAAATTTTGAACCGTTCAAACTGTACTGTTCAGTTCGTACAACCTGAACAGAATGGGATAAATAGCGGTGGCTCTGACCCTTATTAAGCCAATACGTGGCGCGCACAGCTTTGCAATTCCATTCGGTGATGCTAGACACAAAGCAAATGTTATCTAGGTAATTTGAACACCCTTGAACACTTTTTTGAACATGTTTGTACATTTTGTAGTGAGTTAAACCGCCGTAAACATGTTTTTTTTTATCTGTACACTTCTGACACCTCAACCCCAGGTGGCCTTGAACGGACAGTGGCGTAGCGTGGACAACCCTGTTCCGAACGCTGAATGGAACACTAAGTTGAACAAAATGTAGTATTTTCAAAGACACGTGTCAGACACGTCTTTCCCGTATGAAACGAACCTGCTGATGACAAATCTGAAGTCAGGAACGAGGTTTCTCTACATTAAGTTGTTTTTTTATAGTGTTCCAACACGTACAATGTACAAACGTGTTCAAAAAAGTGTTTAAGGGTGTTCAAATTACCTAGATAACATTTGCTGTACATTTGCATGTACAAACATGTTCAAAAAAGTGTTCAAGGGTGTTCAAATTACCTAGATAACATTTGCTTTGTGTCTAGCATCACCGAATGGAATTGCAAAGTTGCTGCGCGCCACGTATTGGCTTAATAAGGGTCAGAGCCACCGCTATTTATCCCATTCTGTTCAGGTTGTACGAACTGAACAGTACAGTTTGAACGGTTCAAAATTTTCCAAAAGGATTCGGACAAAATTTGTTTCTTATCTCTTTAAGAACTCCTGTGCAAATTTTGGCGCTCCTTTGACAAAATGCGCGTGTCATACGCAGAACGCGGCCACCACGACCGACAGCCTTTCCCGTCCCGCAGGCAGGCGGGGCCGGCCCGCGCACACTAACAAGTAATCGCCATTTTAAGGCATTTCCCACGAAAAAAGTTGCCTTTTTTTTTGTTTGAGCGTGTTCCTCATGCTTTTGACTACGGGAAACAATAGTCGACACGTGAAATTTCATCGGTGAACAGGGTGGTTAGGTCGCTTGAACAAGTTGTACACTCCGAGACCTAACTTTCACCTTTCACCCTTTTTCCTGGGCGTTGCGAGTAACATTCTGAGGTTTTCTATAGCTCAAAATGACCGCGTACTCGTAAGGAACACAATGCAAAAGACGGAACTCAAAAATTCGGTCTGGAAGTTGGTCAAAACGGCAGAGAAATAGCAAAACGCGGCGAAAACGCGGACACTGTGTGGCGGGTTGCCTACCCGGACCTCCCGTAAGGCGCAATGGTAATTTTGATGGCTTATAAAATCTTCCCTAAGGGAAATTTTCGATGCCTCTTCGGGTCAAATCCTTTATTTAGTCCATAAGTACCCCCCTGCCAAGTGGCATTGCTTGACACAAAAATGCAGTATCCAAAAGTGTAGACCGCCCACTACTTGCTGCAATCGGACTGCGCGGGCGCGGCCCGCCCCAAATGCTTGACTTGCCCGTGCTAAGCTGAGCCGGGCGCGCCGGCACGTTAGTTGTCTCTCTTCTGACCGCCGCGCCGCGCGGCGGCCGGCCGACCGGCGTACTACAATACGGTACGGCTCTTCCTTCAGCGCACGCGTAACTCTCTGCTCACACCATGGTCACGTCGGAGCCCATCCCGCACAAGCTGAGTCTGGGCTTCCCACCTACCTACCTGCACGGCGGCCCCGACCAGGGTGTAAATCCCCCAACCTGTCGAGATTCTGGACCCACGAGCAGACGTCTCGTGCCGCCACCTTCTCCCCCTCCACCGTGCTGGTACGGTTAAAGTCCCTTACTCAGGTGATGTCGACTTCAACCGGTTAGAGTGTGCTTTAACCAAGGTGCCCGGTTAGAGTCCTTCCGGGGCCATTTGAGGGAGACATTAACGGGGTAAAGCGGTTCAAGTGGACTTTATCGAGGGGCCGGCGGTTAAATCGGAATCGAGGGAACAAGCTAGGCCCCACTCTTCCGCCAAACCAAGTTGCCAGCTCCGCTTCGCTCCACCGGTAACTCGGTTCGGCAGGAAGCGGGCCTAGCTTGGCCTGCCGGCGGCGTTTGGGAATAAAGCTTCCATTGGAAAACGGGCCTTCGGCCCGTTTGAGTGACAGCTCGCTTTGAACCATCTTTTTGCCAGGTGCCTTTGCTGTCTACTTCGTAATCAAAACTGAACAAACGAAGCATTCTTTTCATACGCTGAACATCTTTGGCTGTGTGTGCCGCAGTGTGTAGAATACATGCAGGTTATGCCAAATCCCTTCCAAGTTTTTGATGTTAGCTTATGGATCCAATAACACAATATAAGACTAGCCTGTAATATGTTCAGCAGTAAAATTACAATATATCTTTTACAGTGAAGCTGCCAACTTCGTTTAGCAGGAGGGTGGGCCTGCTAGCTATTATTTTTATTGCAGTAAAATGCAACGATGACCACTTAAGTATGCAATAGTTATTTTATTTGAAAGTGATATTTTTAGCCCGCCCTTCTGCTTTTAAAAGAGCATTAAAGCGGGCTTATGCAACCGTTCTCGTGTCCGTCTGTCCTTCGTGCGTGTAAGAAGAAGGAGATGAGCTAGAGGTCTGAAAATTTCAGGGTATCTTAAGGTTCACTCCCTGGAAACGAAATGCGTACGGCAAATCCTGTCAACCACCCCTAAGGGGGTAAGAGGGGGTAACAAAGAAATACGGGTTGGTCCAAAAAGTTGGAAAACAATATTTATTTTATGGTCTCTTAGGGGTACCTCGTGAAAGTAGAGCTCTTCGGGCGAAAATTGTGTCCGTTTGACTCTATCTTGCACCGTTTGGGCGCTAGAGTGTTTTTTTCGACGAAAATACGTTGGAAATGACCACGTTGCACATAAAGGCGTACGCAAGGAGGTGTTCAATCGTCAAATGTAACAGAAAGTACGCCCCCCCCCCCAAAAAAAAACACACAATAAAACAACACATTCTGATTCGAGAACTACCTTTGGATTTGCCGTATCTTTCACTGTATCGGCCCTTGAGGTGGATATATTTAAAACAATGGCAAAAACTCAAGTTTTAAGACTGTTCGACAAACAAGACAATCTAAAACCTACCAAACATGGATCATTTTTCAGAAAACCGTGGTTTTGGGGTCGATAAAAGTGTGATGAGCATAATTTTTTTTCGTTGCTGTGTAGTTTGAACCCTTTAGGAAATTGTCCCGAGTGAATTAAGTTTCTTGCTCCAATACTTTAGGAGCTACAGGGAATCCCCATGACCGCAAATTTTGATCCATGTTTGGAGGGGGGTACCCTAACATGGATCACCGAGCTAGAGCATCCCCCTTCACAAATGTGATAAACAACAGTATTAGGGGAAGGCAACTTTTTTTTTGTTTTATCACAAAACAACCCCTTCCTCTTTTTAGGCGTTGTGATCCATGTTTGGACGCTGACTTAAACATGGATCAAAACTTCGGCATGTTTGGATACGTTGTTTAGGCTCGTCTGTCGACGAAATTAATAGTTTCTTATAACAACAGGTTCCTCTGACTATTCTGCTCACGAAATTGTAACTCGCTCTCTCTCATTTGCATCTTCGGGCG